AACATAACTGCCATTTAATCTTCTCTAACTCCGACCACGTCGTATCTACCGAACCGTCCTGACACACCTGTATTCTATTGAACAATGGTTCAAAATATGACGAATCAAACTGAACATCGTAAAATCCCAAAACATAACCTTCCCCTCTACCTGTGTCTCATCGTCTATCTCCAATCTGTTATAACCACAATGCCCCTTCCCACCGAAAACATCATCTGGTACTTGGTGCTGTGCAGACAAACAACTCACCTTGATACTCTACTCAAAAATGTCTACTACATAGTAGATCTAAACTTTATGGACAACAGAATACTCATATTCGGCCTGTCAAGCAAAAATACATGCCATCAACGCTTCTGCTCTAAAAATCTTAAAAAGGTAGATTTTTACACAACACAAACACACCTAGAAATGGTTAATGGCAAAAAAATCCCTATATGATCTGAGAGCCAAGCAACTATTAAAGCATTAACATGTAAAAAAACAACATATCAAAATTAGAAAGTGAATGCATCCAGAATATCCAAAACTTGAGGAAACATAACAACTTGATGATATCTTGGGTGCCAAGGTCAGAGGAATTTTGGGTAACGATAAAGCAGACACATGACAAAAAGACGATCTGCAAGAACATACATAGGGCCTGAACCGGTACTTGAGATAACAAAAACAAATACAAAATCCTCCATTGCAGAATGGATCCAAATAATACAAAAGGAGAAGTGCAGAACGTGGAGAAAATGTAGCGGTGCTAGACACGCTAAACTTATGTTAAAACAACCCCAGCAAGCCTGGCAAACTCATTGCTGCAATTTGAGAGGTCTATACTCATTGATAGGAATGCTACCCGTTCACTGGCACCTGAGAAAACATCTACACAATATTGGCACATAGAACGATGATCCCTTCTGCAGATTTTGCAATGAGGAGGAGAAAACAGCCACCTATATCATCTCCGAATGCGAAGCAACGGCTTAAGGTATGAACTTGTAGCAGTAACAATCAATGACCTAATACTTCTGAGAACTATTGACTATATCTCAGTGAACTAAGGTACTAGGAACGTCTAATAAGCCAATCAGCTTCACTGCCTAGGGAGCACAAATTCCATTTCCTAGTATCCATCATCATCTTCATCATTATCTAAGTGGAACCCAAGGTATTAAACGCGCTAGGATTTAGGGATAGGAACATTGTTTTAGTATCTCTTGAGAGATTTGTTTCGGTTTGTAAACGTGACATGGATTTGCTTTCTTCCTCATTCTTTATTGTCTGTATCAATAGTTGTGCAGTAATTCCGCAGCAACCTCAAGATCGTCGGGTCAAAGGATGGTACAGTGGGAGCATTCATCATCCTTCATAACATTCATCTATCCTCAATAACCTTCATGAGCAGTATGAAGGTCATTAAGGATAAGTTAGAGCACACTGCCCGGCGGTACTCCAGATTATTTAAAGTAAAATTCCGTTGTCTCAGTTTGTTTACGTATTTTGTTTGGAAAATTATGAAATGTGAATCAATTTTTAATCTTTTGGTTTTACCTCTTGTGTACTTAATTGTCTAATTTGTTTCTTTAAGTAATCAAAAATGTTTCAAATTGGCATTATTCTTCAACTATGTTAAAGTATGCATAATAAAATATAAACCATTTTCGGATGAATCTGACCACATTGGCCTTAATTGTTAACAAAAAGCTACATAGATATCCGGGCTCTACGCATGAGAAACTAGGAAAGTTTGTTGAGGAGTTTTCCCTAAATACGCCCCAATAAGAAACAATGATCTGCGGGGTGATGTTCCTGTGATGCTGGACGTCTCATTCATACATTCACGCTAATAAATACATCAAAAACCAAATACGACGATTAAAGAAATGTCGCTATCGTTTTAAGACCAAAGGGCTTGATTGATCAGGAGAATTTTAATATATATTTTTGAGATACCCCGTCAATGACCTGATACGTACAAGAAGAACGACTGATTCTATTGCCATGAACTAGGGAACTAAGAAGTTAGAAGCCAGAAGAAGGCTGCAGTGCCTGGGAAGTACAAAGCCCACTTCGTATAATCCTCATTACCATTGCCATTATTATTACTAAATCCTTTTTAAAAAGATACCACGTCTCTCGATGGTTGTAGAAGTCCTTCAACCTGATGATGAGCTAAAAGGCTCGAAATCCGGATCGTTGCAAAAACAACTTACTGTGAGTAGGAACTATCTTTTTAAAAAAGATTGAACACCACACTCACTCCATCATTTATCATTTCTATTGTTATTATTACTTCATAGAACAACGGGGTTTGGCCAAAGGTTCCAAATTCCTCAGAATCCAAATCTTACAATCACTAGTCCTTAGATCCATCGTCAATACCCCGTTCTTTTTTTTTTCCAACCACATCAATCATAACGATCCACTCCCTTTTTAAATGAAATAAAATTAAGCTACAAAATTTCCGTCTAACCTCTGATCCTTCTTATTCAGAAATCGTGAGATGCGGTCTGGTCTGATGTAAGTTTCAGAAAAACATTTTCTTTATCGTGCCAACGTATCGATCTTTATTGAGATCATCTTCAGGGCACTCTCAACACGACACGCAAGAATGGCACAATTAAGCAGAAGACAAACACTTTGAGCCCTGAAGATGATCTCAATAAAGATCGAAACGTTGGCACGATAAAGAAANCCTTTGTTTTTTATTGGCATAAAATGAAAATACATACGAAATTAAATAACAATGCGCGGATATGAGAATGAGCTGAAGGTTCCAAGGTTCTACTTTTAGAGATGATGATGTTGGCAGATTTATAACTTTTCTTAATGTTTAAAATATGTTTCGATTTTGCAACGAGACCTTGCCCGAATTGTTAAACCTGTCAACTGTTCGAATGGACGATGTCTCGAATTTATTTTGAATCTTGATTTGAATCCATTTGGAGGGCATATTACGTCTTATCTACCATCTCGGCCTCCTAAATACAGGTAATGAAATCTTTTAAATGGTAATGCGTCCTCATCTAACGATTCATTGTCTGCACCCACATCACCATTAAATCAAACCCCTGCCGTATAAGCAGGGATTTATCATGTGAATGGTGGCTAATTGTATCGACTTGGGAATACGCTCGACGTCCCGAATTCGCCCGGGTCTGAAACGCGGAGAAAGTGTTCAAGAAAAATCTTTTAAAATGGAAGAAAAAAAATCTTGTAATAAATTGCAGATTAGATTTAAAAAAGAAAAAAAAATCCTGAATAAAAAGGGTCTTTAGCCGTAAAATCCCATTTGATGAGTCACGTAAAGAGATAACAAAAGGATAAAATTAAGGAATCTTAACGAATCCGGAATGAGCCCTTTTTTTTACGAGTCGAGGTTCGTCCGTGCGAAAGGGAATATTTTCATGGAGAAGGAGAACCGTAATTATCGGGAAGAGCAATAAAACTGAATTAGAGAACGGTTGAAGGTTTGGGGAGTTTTTAGTTATCGGCCTCGATTAGAAGGGAAAAGCGAAAGGGGGTTGGTTTCCAAGGGCTTAAAACAACTCTAATGCTCCTTAACTTTTTGCCTACGAGAGAGGTTAGAGATTTTTTATAAAGGGGTGAGAAAAAGAGATCCTCGGATGAATCGTTGTACACGTTATTTGTTGGCTTTTGGAATTCTGGAACCACCAAATTGGCCTAAAGGCGAAAAGAGAAGAGTGGTAACGTCTACTTTGAAGATAATTTTCGATCAGTTTTGGTTTTATTTCAAAAATGGCCAATTATGACGGGAAGGTGAGTCTCTTGGGTGTGTGTCAAAAAACAATTGGCCTGTGTACAACCAATATTGTTACATTGAACCAGTCTCTAGATCTCAGAAATCTATGCCCAGATCTTTTTGGACATTGTTATTACATCGTTCTTCTCGTGTAGAAATGTGTAGAGATTAGTGACCGTTAACCGATAGTTATTCAGATATCGTGAGATGCGGTCGGGTGTGATGTAGGTATCAGAAAAACATTTTCTTTATCGTGCCAACGTTTCGATCTTTTATTGAGATCATCTTCAGTGAGTAGAAATACTTTGTTTGAATATAAAATATATTTTGCATTGTATAAATTCACTTTTCTACATCCTAAATGTATTTGTTAAATGTAAACATTGTTTGTAAATCCCAGGCCCTGAAGAAAGTGTTCTTGCGTGTCGTGTTCAGAGTGCTTCAGGGAAGAATGGCACAATTACACAGAAGACAAACACTTTGAGCCCTGAAGATGATCTCAATAAAGATCGAAACGTTGGCACGATAAAGAAAATATTTTTCTGATACCTACATCACACCCGACCGCATCTCACGATATCTGAATAACTATTGTTATTACAGTTATTACCTCAGAACCCTGTTCCACGATGAACTTTTTTAATTGTGTGTCTTAGTTAACCTTACAGACCACAGGAAAGTGCCCATATTGGTTGCATCAGGTTTTAGATGTGTTGCTTTATGATCAGACTGCATATGACCATGTAGTTTTGTTGTCCAAGTAGATGTCTACATATTTGCGGTCATTTAAACGAATAATGGCATTGTTATGATGTAGGATAGGTTAAGATTAAGGAAAAAGAGTCGGTCAGTTCGAGGACTAGCCCACCGCGTTCCATATGGTATATTGCTCCAGTCTCTACCATTAGCTAGGGCTCTACGTTTAGCTCAAGACTTTTTACCAGCTATAGGATATTTGGATCTCAGAAAGTCTATGCCCAGATCTTTCTGGAGGTTGTGACTACAGTTATTGTAGTCAGAACCCCGTTCCGCCATGAACCTTTTTAATTATGTGTCTCAGTTAACCTTATACAGGAAAATATCCATTTTGGCTGCATCAGTTTTTAGATGTGTTGCTTTAGAATGAGCCTGCATGGAGACCTTGTTATAGACAGGTCATAGACAAAGTTAGGACAGAGCTTCTTGACCCGCACAAGGACACATTAAACAACATTATTTTGTTAAACAACGTTATTTTGTTGTCCAAGTTATGATGAAAGAAGTCACTTGAAAGTTGTGAATTTTTACATGAACATTCCGTCGAATCCTGGTGGTTGAAAGTGATCTGCATCTGGTGGGGGCCTTGGCCTCTGATCGGGTCGACCTCGTGGTGGTCCAAACGGATCAAGCCTTGCACCAGGAGGTACAGCACCCCTCGGAAGACCTCCAGGTATGCCAGCACCGGGATCCATAAAACCACCTGAACGAGGGTCGAACGGATTAAAAATCATGCCTCCCCCCTTGCTGAATGGGTCCAAATTACTACGACCGACCCTTAAAGGATCCCTCTCAGGGTCGACCCAAAATGGATCAACGGCAGGCTGTCCAATGATACGTCCAGGATTAATCGGTGTAGGTATATGAGCGGGCAAAGTTGGAGTGCCCTGGGATGTGCCGACACTGGTACTCTGTTTGTTTGTCTGTGTTGTGGCTTCTTTGTTGTTTAATGTGTCCTTGTGCGGCTCAAGAAGCTCTGTCCTAACTTTGTCTATGACCTGTCTATAATCCTCTAGCAACGAAGTGACAGGCCCTTTCAAGCTGTTGACTGCATTCTGTGCATTGAAAGCCACGTTCGATACGTTCAAGTCATTCCCTTTCAAAAAATTGAACACGATGTTTTCAGGGACACCCCTGAGAATGTAGAGAGAATTGTCGTTGACGTATCTTATCGGGTAGCTCGACGCTGCGTTCTATCCCGGCAGGACCTCCGAGCTCGGCTCGTTCCCAGTCAGCTCTCTCGAGACTCCCAGCCCGATGCATCTGTACCCGTTCCTTATAAGCACGTAGTGTATGACAAGGGTGAGTACGTCCTCCTTCTTGCGTATGTCGTTTTCGGACACGGCATAGATCAAATCCGACATTTTTCTACTTCAATAAAAACAAAAAAAAAAGAGTAAAAATGCCGTCCGTCAAAATTCGAACTGTCGTCTCATCGTTCGGTTCCTTATCAGAGGCTAAGTTGTCCAAGTAGATGTCTACATATTTGCGGTCATTTAAACCGAATAATGGCACTTTTATGATCTAGGATAGGTTAAGGTTAAGGAAAAAGCACTCGGCCAGCTCGAGACTAGTCCACTGTTCCAATCTCTATCATTAGCTAGAACTAGCCCACCAATATTGGTACATTGATCCAATCATTAGCTATAGCTCTACGTTTAGCTTAAGACATTTTACCATGTATATTTAGATCGCAGAAAATCTAAGCCCAGATCTTTTTGGAAATTACGTCTCAGAACACTGTCCCACTCTGAACTTGCTAAGGCCACACCGGAGGTAACAATCTAGGTGACTAGTGACAAGGCGAGTCGCTTGGTGAGTCACCCAAGAAAACGAACAGAGCATACAAGAACGGCCACACTAACACATGGTTACATAGGAATTCATCAGGCGAGTCACCTAGTAAAGAATACGGTCTATAATTATTCAAAAATCGTGAGATGCGGTCTGGTGTGATGTAGGTATCAGAAAAATATTATGTCGAATTTATCTACACCTCATCAAGCTCAGGGGGAGGGTCAACCCGGAACAGACACAAGGGGAAACAATATCTAAAGAACAACATCTGACTAAAACTGACTTACCAAATTGCCCTACGTGCTCGTCAAACTGCACAGCAAATGAAGGAACTCAATGCACTCAGTGCAAACATAATTTCCATTTTGCTTGTACATCCTTGCGAACTAGAGAAGCATGGATTAAACTAAATAAAGAATACCGCGCAAAACGGAAATGTGATATTTGTAACAACACGATAAGAGTTTTGCAAGGTCAAATTAAGACGTTATTCTCAACGACCAAGGAATTAAAAAGGACCAATGATTTGATGATATAAAAGCCTCCATTAAAAATTTACAAGAAGCCTTTACTACCCTCGTAACCGAAATAACCGTAGAGAGCTTAATACCCGAGCCAGTTAAAGAATGCGAAACTTCTCGGGGGTATTCGCCACCGGATCCGAATCCCGAAGTTATCGATATCGAGAATAAGGACAATCAATGTGATACCAAATTTTGTCCAGAAGAAGTAAAGATTGAACCACTTGCTAAATAGAACGCTAATATTTTGGTTTTCTCAGCTCTTCACATGTCCTAAGTTGAGTAGTTCTACCCTTGGTTTCTGCGATGGTCCCATGAATGGACTTTTCTCCTGCCTCTGCCTGAGAATACTCCCCATTGGATCTGGGTTTCGGGAAATTTGGCATGCCAAAAGGGTTCTGGGCAGATTGGTGCCCTGATCAAACGTTCATTAATCAATTTATAGGTCTCCTCCTATTCCCCTGATATCCAAGCAGGGTTGACTTTGTTGGTTTCAATCACAACTAAAGACTTTTTGTTTAACCCATTTTCTGATGGACGTCCATGTACCCAAAGACACTGGCATATTATCAACAGCTTATATGAATGGTTGGTTGGTTGGTTCATTTTCAGAGATACCCAGTGTTTGAGCCATCGATATACATAATGTGTGTTGATTAGTGACTTTGATCAATAATTATTCTGAAATCGTGAGATGCGGTCTGGTGTGATGTAGGTTTCAGAAAAACATTTTCTTTATCGTGCCAACGTTTCGATCGTTATTGAGATCATCTTCAGGGCTCAAAGTGTTTGTCTTCTGTGTAACTGTGCCATTCTTGCGTGTCGTGTTGAGAGTGCTTTGTCCGACGGTCACCTTTTATTGGCACATAAAAATCTAAAGGATTTTCTATCTTTTGGGATATAATAGTCGAATAGGGCATCAGAACTGACCCAAAGTTGCCATTTTCCATTAATGTACCATGGATGTGTTCCATCGAATCGTTTATGGCATTGGCATCAATGTGAGGCCTATTAAGAAATCAGTTGCTCAATAAGGATGAAATTTTTATTTTAATGTGTGGTGATTAGTGACCGTTAATCGATAATTATTCAGAAATCGTGAGATGCGGGCACTCTCAACACGACACGCCCTGAAGATGATCTCAATAAAGATCGAAACGTAGCACGATGAAGAAAAGATTTTTCTGAAACCTACATCACACCAGACCGCATCTCACTATTTCTGAATGATACACATAATCAGAATTAACTGGGATTTCTTTCTTCTAGTCTGCTTTATCGGACATGCTGATGTGAAATTTTTAATATCTGAATTTTAGGATCGAGGCGACGACTAACCCTAGAACCTTATCCGGTAAGAAATTTATTTTTAACGGTTTGAACGTAGATGTAGTGTTGATCCTTTCGAATGTTTTAAAGTATAACGGCGATAGAATAAATCAGTAAAGGCCAAGACGGAGCGCATGTAGATTTAAGAAGCTGTTATAATTAAAAAAAAAAGATCGTGATTTCCGTTGGAGGAATAAATAACGAAATGAATTATAAAATCCCCGAGGATCTGGTTATCGTTTATTAGATGACCGCAGATAAGGAGAATATCCATTGTACCCTGGCTTAAATCTTGAATTATGACCCAGGCCCCGGGTGTCAACTAAATTTCAGACCCTTGAATTAATACCAGGTAGTCCAGACGCCCACCCGGTAGAAAAAGGACAAATCTTTTTTCTAAATACTGTATCATCTTAACCTTCGGGGCCGTTTTGAATATTTAAATTTGTTCGTATTAAGATTAACGATCAATAATTAAAAGATTTTAACACATACGAACACTCCAAAGTATTGTATGTGCTTAAATTGATTTAAAAATTGATATTATATTTAACTAAACCAGGTGGAAGAGCGTGTTTAAATCGAAATTGGATTTTGCGTGCTGGAAGAGCATCACAAAGGGCTTACACACTGAAGGGGCGTGACCTAAGAATTCTCATTAGTAGAAATGAGGCCCTTTTCGCCCTTCCAGGCGAGTTATCCGTCAATTGTGGGTTTTTCGGTGTGTTCAACCATCGTTACAATCACAAAAGGTTTAATCTCTAAATTTGTTTCTGTAGAAAGGTACCGTCGTGTTGTGGCTGACTCGCAGGAGTTATGGACCAATTCGGGTTTATTATTGATAGCTTTGATTATTATATATTTAAATATGGTTTTGGCTTTAAATTCGGCAAAGTTGCCACATAACCAACTCTCTCTCTATTTTTTATTTATATCTACCCTTATGTTCTATCTCATTTTCTGTATCATCCACTCACTATTTCTTACTATTCTTGGAAATATATATATATATATATATTTCTTGTTCCCTGAGTTTTTTAGAACATAATAAATTCTTTCCTTCTTTATTTCTCTTTCTCTCAGTCTCTCTCTCTCTCTCTCTCTCTCTCTCACTCAGTCTCTTTTTTCGCTATATCTCTTATTTTCTTTTTTCTTTCTCATTATCTTTCTTTTCACTCTCTTTCTTCTCACTATCTTTCTTTTCTCTCTCTCTCTCTTTCTTTTATTCTCTTTCTTATCTCGCTCTTATTTCCTTTCTTCCCTCTCATTCTCTTTCTTTTCTCTCCCATTCTTTTATTGTATCTCTCTCCCACTCTCTCCTCTGTCTCTCTTATCTTTCTTTTATTCTCTTTCTTCTAGCACTTATCTCATTCTCTTTCTTTTCTCGCTCTTATTTTCTTTCTTCCCCCTCATTCTCTTTCTTCTCACTCTCTTTCTTCCCTTCCTCATTCTCTTTCTTCTCACTATCTTTCTTTTCTCTCTCTCTTTTATTCTCTTTCTTCTATCTATCTATCCTCCCACATTCTCTTTCTTCTCTCGCTCTTATTTTCTTTCTTCCCTCTCATTCTCTTTCTTTTCTCTCACATTCTTTCATTGTATCTCTTTCCCACTCTCTCCTCTGTCTCTCTTATTCTTTCTTTTATTCTCTTTCTTCTAGTACTCCTCTCTCATTCTCTTTCTTTTATCGCTTTTATTTTCTTTCTTCCCTCTCATTCTCTTTCTTCTCACTATCTTTCCTCACTCTCTCTTTTTTCTTTCTTCTATTTATCTCTCCTCTCTCATTCTCTTTCTTTTCTTGCTTTTATTTTCTTTCTTTTTTCTCTCATTCTTTCTTTCTATCTCTCTCCTTTGTCTCTCTCACTCTCTCTCTCTCTCTCTGTTTCTCTGTCTCTGTCTGTCTGTCTGTCTCTCTCTCTCTCTCTCTCTCTGTCTCTCTCTCTCTCTCTCTCTCTCTCTCTCACTCTCTCTGTCTGTCTGTCTCTGTCTCTGTCTCTCTGTCTCTCTCTCTATCTCTCTCTCTCTCACTCACTCTCTCTCTCTGTCTGTCTGTCTGTCTGTCTGTCTCTCTATCTCCCCCACGTACATACACACTCTAATCATGCCTTATTTTTTAAATTTTTTACCGATCATGTCTGATATTAATACCGCATTGAATAACGATTTACAAAAACCACAATCTAAAGGGATTAGATTTATATTAAGATGATAGATAATACTAAAAAATGATAGAATCTATAATAAATATAAAGCATCTAAAACCGTACTTCACGTACCAACCAAAAGTACTTACCACACCATCACTGAGTTTCGTTGAAAAGGTCGGCTCTGGGAAAGATTGCAGACTTCGTACCTTCCATTTCGCCTTCTCCACACTTTTCCACGTCCATCTGGAGATCGTAGAGCAAATCTACATTCATCTGTAAAAAGTACAGCAGACCAATTGTCCAAAGACCAATGGATGTGTTATCGAGCAAATGCGAGCCGTCCAACTCTGTGTTTTCTTGTCAATTCTGGATCTCGTATGAGGCCAAAAGCCATCAGTCCACACTGGAGTCTTGGAGCAACGTGTTCAGAAATTTGGAAGCCTCGAACTTCCTTGAGCTGATGAATAACTTGAACAACAGTAAGGTGCCGGTTTCCCAAAATTCTCAAAGTTAAAAAACGGTCATCCTGTGGTTCTGTTACCATTTTGCCTTCTTTGTAGTTTTTTGAAATTT